TGGACAGGCTTGAACAAACAAGAGGAAATACCTCAAACCATTTTCAATTTCACGCCTCTATTAAGGCAATTTAGCGGCCAATTATTACCTTTAAGAAGATCACTCGATGCGGTGACAGATTTGGGCTACCCAGGTTTTTAACGTCAAGTTAAGCGATGAAAGCTTCAAGTATCACTTTATCAAAGCAAACACCTTAGTTTCCTTGTTGATGCCTTGGAATGTTTGCCTTCGTTTTAAACGTAGCTCAGGTTAATCGAATGTCATCTGCAGCTGTTTATGCATTCACAGTTCGCTAATCGAGCCACGTGGAGAGAACATTTATTAGCGCGTTCAATTAAAATATCGCGTTGACGTGTGAGAGGAAGTGGGTTAAAACAGCACAGAGTCACGCGTTTTAATTCAAGAACAAACTGTAAATTCCATATCCTTTGTACCCCGGTTTTCCTGAGTAAACAGAGTATTTCTGTATGTACACAGCCACCCGAGACTGTTTCCCTAGATAAACGTTTTCTGTCGAAAGATCTTTTGCCATATGTGATTTTTCGTGGACTATTATAAATCAATGATTGACAGATAGCGAAGAAAACTCCCCATGAAGATCGATCGAACAAACATTCGAATGAAAAGACGTGCTTGTTTGATTCCCACAAATTTTATGGTAAACCGGCCACCCAAGACTGCGGGTTTTGGATTCGGGTGCATTTTGAAAGCTACGTTTGGTTTAAATTCGTTCTCAGTTTAGTGAACCCACAAGCGCACGATTCTAAGAGCGTTTTGAAAAGTACGACATACTATAGAGATGTAAAAACGTTTGCTGTCACGAATACAGTACTTTCAACGCATCTTGGTCTAAACTCTCGAGAAAGTTAAATGAAATGTGAATGCACAAAATTTTAGTTTATTCTCTCTCTTAACTTGTCCTCTTTTTTTCGCCACATCGAGCTGTTCAAAAACCATCCAGCAAGAAAAAGTGATTCAGTAAAAAAGGAGTTTTGAACAGCTCAGGAAGGAAACAAACACTGCGTTTCGTGGTATTAATATTTCAGTTTACCGGCATTTCAAAACCAAAATGCATGGAAAATTCTGTTGCTTAAATACTTTGACCCTGCGCTAGTACCTAATTTCTCCCGATAACATCACCCATGAGTTATACAATTAGGTCTTGAGAAAAAAGGATTTGATCCCCGTCTAAAGACGCTCTCGATTGTTAAACAAATTCTCCTTGTCAGCACCTTGGGAACGCAAAGAGAACAGTATGGAGAATATGCCTACTGATGTTAGGGTGTGCATGAGGGGTTCATCGTGACCGCCATACACTGAGTTATCTTCCATTCGAAGGTCTTTCAAACCTACACAACAAATTGGGTGGTTCACCTGTGTTAAGCCCAACTTCACATTGGAAAATTATTTGTCATCTACATTAGCAGATAAACCTTAAAATTGTAAACGACGCTCTCCTGTACCTATTATACACTTTTATGACAAGTTCGTACATGGCAAGCTGTGGAATTAAATAAAAAAGTGCTAAGAAAGTTAACACAGTCGAGGTTTGTTTTGCAAACGTCCTTCCACATATTGTAAAAATGACTCCGAATTTTTGAAATAATAATAATGATAAAAAATTACAGCAGTTAACTTCTGTGCAAAAACATCACAGGTCTCATCAAATAACATGCGACGTTATTTTAATTAGCCCTCAATCAGTCTTTGCTTCACAAGTAGAATTCAAACGTGACAAAATGGTGTTAAATACAAAAGCGTATTACTGGGTTGTAACTACTCATGAATCTGATGATAAAAAAGCGAGTTAAATTAATTTGGAGACTGCAGAATAAGCACACCAGAGAACTTTCTGAACAATCCCTCCAATTCCTTTAGTTTGTGAAAAATTAGTCGTTAACTCCCATGGATTTAAACATAAATTATTGATGGCTCTACCTTTGTGCTTTTACACTTCTAATTAAAGTTTTTTTGACACTCTTCAGAGTTGGCATCAATTTCGAGCACAACTCTGGCTACTCAACAATTCAAAGTGATACAAACTTCAATTATTGCAGGAGGAATAGCAAGGAGGACTGTAGCCCCACCCTTCACACAAAAATTTGGGGGTCAATTCTGCATTGCCACAAATCAACCACAAGGACAAAGTGAACACAATTAAAATAACAGAAAGTTGCACTTGCACTTGAATAATACTTAAGAAATTTCAGTAGGTATATACACTTGGCTAATAGTGTATCATAAGCATGCCCCACTTTAAAGTTCCCAACTGAATCACTTTTAAACCTTGCCAAAACTAATGAACAGTGGAGTAAGATTTTAAGCCTTGGACTTGTCTTATTTTCATGTCAGAAGTGGAAGAAACATTTCTTCGAGCTTAGTTTACCTGCGAGTGATCTTTACATCTGGTCCTCTTAAAGTATATTTTAAAATTGTTTTCATGTTAGATTTTCCACCAGTATCCAAGTTGTAAACAAAAGATTATTTGCATATTTCTATAAAGAGCAGGATTGTCGTTGGAAGCCATTAGCTAGCAAAAACCTGCCGGCTAATGACAATCTTGCACTTATTATTTTTTGAATTGTGATAAAACACAAAAAAATAAGTATTTTTAAGACCAATGTCTGGCTAAGAAAAGTAATTCAAATATGTCCCAGAAAGCTGGAACTCACTTCTTAGAGAGTTTTAAATTTCAATTTTTTTCCAAGGGGACATGTTCTGGACCCACCAAAAGGGTGTTTTGCTCTGCTGCATGCCATGCTTCAATTTAGCCCCCCTACTTAGTTCAGATCATATACCAATTATATTTGCTAATTACTTCTAAAAATGTGCATACAAATTTACTTTCTTCTGTTTTTTGGTGTCTTTCACACCCATGTGAAAGAGACTATCAACACTCAAAGATGAAATTTGTTTCCCCTTGCATCATGTAATATCCTGTTTATATGTATAACAGAAGAGGAAGTTTGATATCTAGCCTGCAGAGTAGTCATGATTTTGGCAAGCAAGTACTCAGTATTTTCTTAGCAAAAATTATGACTACCATCTTTGATTTTAAAGGTAGCAGAAGGCTGGGAAAAGAAAGAAATTTGTACCAAGGGGGTGAGCGACAGTAAAAAAAAAAAAAAAAAAAAAAAAAAAAAAAAAAAAAAAAAAAAAAA